CAAAGAAGATAGTTTAATTTGTATGTAGTATTTGCTAAAAATATATTGAGTCAGTGTGTTTATGTTGTATGTAGTGTTTATAGAACCAAATTTGAGACTCGTTGGTGTTTTAAAGTGCTGTAGTAGTGTAGTTAAATCTCCCTTTTCAGTTTCCAGGGCTCACCAAAATGTGTACTGCTGCTATAGCTTGAATGAAACAGAATTGAGGCAGGAATTGAAAGGCCGAAAGGGAATTGGGCTGGGCTATGCCGCTCAGTCACTATGGGCTTGATATTTCATCTGCTTTTGAATGGGTATAACGGGTACTCATATTACCCAAACGGGTATTTACGGGTAACCCGTGGGTACCCATATTAGAAATGTACAATTCCAAATCCCATCCATTTATAATATTACGGGTAATATGGGTACCCGTAACCCTTAAAAAACGGGACGGGTACGGGTATACCCAAATACCCGTTTTCCGTTGCCCACCTCTAAATTCGGGTTCGGATTTTCGGTTTTAACCGAACCCGAATCGATAAGATGTATTATCGGGTTTTCGGTTTCGGTTTTCTTTCGTGTTCGGGTTTTTTGGTTTTGAGTTTTATTTTTCGGTTTTGATTTCGGGTTTAGCTAAAGATACAAAAGCTTCATATCCAATAGGGTGTTTTCGTTTTCGGGTTTCAGTTTTTTCTTAACCGAACCCAAAACTGTTAAGAGGTTTTTCGGGTTCGGATAACCAAAACCAAAAACTCTCTTATCGGGTTCGGTTTTCAAAAGATAACCGGTTTTAATTTTCAGGTTCTTTGAGTTTCGGGTCGGTTACAACCGACTAGTAGTCCTGCAACTCTAATAATACCCTAATTCCCTAACTATTCATCTAATATCTATCCCTACTCCAACCTCTCGTCCCTCCTAATTCCCACAGGCACAACCTCCATCATCACCGCCACCCATAGCTACTAAGAGCAAATTGGGTATAAATTTTTTATTATTAATTTATTTTTAATAAATTATATTTTATGAAGTTAGAAAAATATATTAATTAAATTTTTATTTCTTCCTCTTTCTCGCTTCCACAGATTTCCAACCACCTCTCTGCCTTCTTTTTCTCAATCTTTCCTTTTTTTCCTTTCGGTTGACCTAATACCAATGCGAAAATGAAACAAGAAATCAATACCAATCCATTAAACAAACACGATCACTTCAGGAAACATCAGTACTATTATAAAAATAAAATAATAAATCAATAACATAACATAAAAACATTATCATTTCATCCTAAAAAAAACTACCACTTCCACTACCACAACTTATACCGCTTATTAACCAATATCATTGCAGATTTAACAAATACTAATACACGAAGATCAATACTAATACGATAACATCAATATAAAAAAAGTAATACTATTACATAATAGTCCATATTAATGCGGAAAAATAATAGCACTAAAAAAATACTAATACAAAAAAGTACATAACAATAGAATAAAATCAGTAAAATATTTGGTTTTTTATACCATTCATACCGTATTGGTTTTTAGATCAAATTTCAATTCATAGTTACATCGTTTCAAAAACAAAATTAATCTACTTTTAATAATGGCAACTAGAAAAAGTTAGGCTAGAAAAAGGACTCCACCAAGTCGGCAAGTCCCAACATAAAGCAAACAAATGACGATACTAGAATAATGTTTACCATTGTATTGAGGAAGACTTAAACATTTTATAATCGTCATTACAAAATATTGATAACAGGTTGACCGCTTGCAGACTTGGCATTCAGTCGGTCCTTGCTAGTTATTATCATATTCGCCGGCGAGAAAACAAAAACCACAAAAAAAAAAAAATGGAAAAATCTCTTTCTTTCTCGGGGCCTAAAATGAAAATGCCAAAAGAAGGCTAGATAGTATGTTGGGACTTTTAGGGACGAGGGTATACGTACGATAGCCCGACACCGGGTGACCAGGATTGTGATAGAGTCGTGAACAACGTTCACTTTCCGAAAAGAATATTTCCACCCTCAACAAGCCTAGGGTTACAGGAAATTTCTCTCGAGGATAAAACTATCACCACTTTAGGTTCCAGACTCAAGAACACTAAAGCATACTTAGAAATTTTTTTGGAAGAAAGAAGAAGAATATGTTTGATGGTATATGGCATCATCCACCCCACACATATTTATAGGGGCCGAATCCATGCATTGTTTCATGAAAGGTTGCCTTTATCCATATGAAAGGTTGTCTCTATCCATATGAAAGGTTATCCTTATCCATATGAAGGGTTGCCTCTATCCATAAGGTTATCCTTATCCATAAAATAATGCAACCGCCACTAGGCCAAAGGGACGTGTCCCTTCACGGAATTAGAATATCGGTTCGGTCGGTCTAATCCCAAACCGGTTGGTCGGTCCAACTCAAAACCGATTTGACTTGGTTAGTCCGGTTCAACCAAATTTTCAACATAGTAGATAGGAGTAAACACACAAGACATGAAACAAAATCGTTACGGAATAAAATAGTATAGCTAAAATAATTAATAATGTATTGAACTCTCTCTAAAAGAGATATTTTCTCGGTGGTTGTTGATCCCCAAATTTTTGAATTTAGAGTGTGATGGATGTTCTCATTCTACATTACCGCTAACCAAACATTTTAGTATTTTTATAGAGATTTCATGTCTCGATTAATCATTTTATTGAAACTCTCTTGAATACCATCTTTTAGTGTGGTAAGAAAAACGACATGTAATTTGTACACATGGTACAACTAGCATACGGATCAACTTCCATAAACTAAGGGTTTCCTCCATTTGTGTTTTAAACTTTGTTTGTAAAAGAGTATTGGGATGGCAGGATTTAATCAATATTGTATCAATATGATATCATTATCACAATCATAAGAAAAAAATATATTCAACCAATATTATATTAATATAATATTAACCATAACCAGCAAAACAGTTAAACCAATATTTCCCTTAATTATGGTCTTAAATAAATTAGTCTTTTTTTATTATTTTGAAGCAATAAATTATACTACGTTAGTGTTCCTTTATTTGCATCCCGATTCACGTGTCTCGGCTTTTGAAAAATCATGAACCGCCGGTCCAATTACGAAAGCTGGCTAGCCAGCTGCTCCAGGCCGCTTGGAATGAAGCCACACACAATGTTGTCGTCAGCGAACGTTGAGGCGGGTCGTCACCGGGTGGGAATTGGGATGGGTCTATTTCATTGCGTGTATAAATTTAGAAACGTGGTGATTGGGCGAGCTTGGCTAAAAAGTCCATGTTGACTAATGACTATCTTACTCAATAGTAAGTTGATGGAAAATGAAATTAATGTTAGAAGATTTTTTTTTATCAACAATAAAGTTGTAAATACGCGAGAATTTAATTTTTTGAAAATGATTCTTGATTTTTAATGACAAAATAGATAATTTTATTTTTTAAAAAAAATTACATATCCATATGTGTCGACCTATTTGCATTGAGGATGACAACTGAACCTGAACTCAATAGGGATTCAACCTGGTCATAGCGAGTAAATCCCAGTATTTACGGGGTTTGGGTCGAGGGTGCAGGTTGTACTGCTTTTGAATTTAGTGGGTTGGGTTTGGGTTTTGCCAAAACCTAGCCCGCTTTCCGACACGATATGTACCCTTAAAGCAAAACGACTCCATTTTGTATCCAACGGGAGCAATATGAATAATTTATGAACGTTTTTAGTCTTTATGACAATATAAATCTAATAATATTGATAATTTATGGAAGTTATTTGTCTTTATGGCGATATATTTGTAGGAAAATTTTTCGATAACATTACAATGTGGGTATTAGAAGAGATAATATATAGTTATATTTGTGAACCCATGATGAATACTCATGCATCTGCGAGTACCCATTGGATTGGATTGGGTTTTCACTTTTAAAACCAATGAATATTTTATCAAACTTTTTTAATGAGTGCATCCGTTTGGGTTGGGTTTATGTTTAGACTAACTCAAGACTCGTTGTCATCTCTAACCTTCACAATCCCTATAATTCTGACTTCAACATGACGAAACGGGTATTGCTATAGGATACCAACTAGTGATGGCAATAGGGCGGTGCGGGGCGGGTACCTCAATACCCATGCCCAGCCCCACGCTACTATTGGTCGGGGCGGGTAAAATCCGCGCGGGTACGAGGCAGGACGGGTCGACCCACTATAACATGTTATTTGAAAAAAACGTATAGTAATTTTATTTTTTACGATAAAACATAGGGGAAAATACTATATGAATGAAAACCAGTGATAATAAAATGGGTAATTGAGTCTAACCAGTTGAAAGATCGACTCTAACTTGTTGACAAAAAGTCAAAATTGGAGAAATATGTATATTTATTGTAAGAAATTAAGGTATAATGGCAAAAAATAGGACGAGACGGGACAAGACAGGTCAAAAGTAGATATCCATGCCCCGCCTCATACTACTACGAATTAGGTAATACATGCCTCATCACAAATCAAGTCAGATAATACCCGTGGGACGGATCTAAATTGTCATCACTAAATTTACCAATTGTCATTCCTAATCTCAATCCTGTTTAATACACTTTCAAAAAAAAAAAAAAAACTCTCGTTTACTAAAGGTAAAATTGTAAAAAAGAAAAGCTATTATGGAAAAGGGAAAAGGAAGTTGGTATGGTACGTAAGAAACACATTATACACCATCGGGAATGGTTCGTACTTGGTTGGACAAGTGGTTAGCCGTCGCCCGGCTGCAGGCTGTTAACGACTTTACCTTCTTTCCCCTCACACCACCACCTCTCCTTTTTTTTTTTTCCCTCTCCACGACGACGTCACTCCGACTCACCGCGGTGACGCAGCTAGGACGACGTCACCCTCCGTCATTCCTCCACCTATATAAAACGGAACGGACAACTGGTTACCCACCCCACCATCAGCTCAATTGAGAGAGGCACGAAGCTTCCGCTATTTGTTTCCTCCCCCTTGGAAAAAAAAAAAATCAATAATGGACGCCAAAACCACCACCGCCAATAAGCCAATCAAGAAACGACGGCAGGCAGAATCGGAGGAGGAGGAGACGAGACCGGCTCGGGCGGCGGCGCCGGAGGAGGAGGAGGTGGAGGAGTTCTTCGCGATACTGAGGAGGATCCACGTGGCCGTCAAGTACTTCGAGAAGAGCGGGGCGGAGGCCGGCAGCCTGCTGAGCGGGAAGAGATGGAGGCCGTCCTTCGAAAAGGAGGATTTCGTGGAGATCGATGACTTGGCGGCGGTTGGTGATTGTGACGAAGCGGGTTCGGAGGTGGAAGGAGCGGGTCTGGATCTCAACTCGGATCCTCCGCCGGATTTAACAAATGATGACCAACCTAGCTAGTCAAGCAAACGGAGGAAAAAAGCAGGACGATCGACGCCGGCGATCGAGTACTACCTCATCTATTGTGTAAATTTTAGTTTATTGCTATTTTTTTTTCATTTGTTGGATGATTTTCTATTTACTAATTTGCCGATCATCTTCTAATCAGATACATGTTTCAGTGCTTATGCATTGAGATCCACTGATCCAGCAAGCACAATATAAATTCCGTCTGGAGAATTCTTTTTTTCCTTTTCTTGTGTTGTTTGGTGTGGTTTGGTTGTGATACTATCAAGAAAATGATATAAAAGCTAAACTTTGCTAGGAGGGTAATGTGTTGTTTATAGGAAGAATCGCGAGTGGCGACGAATCACGAATGGCTTTGATTTCCCTCCATTTCATTAAATCTAATTATGTTTTTTCAATTGGGATATGGTGCAAACTTTATGGTGGTTTTGCATGACAACCTTAATCTTAACCATCCATTCATTATTTGATTCAGTAGGTGGTATGTGGTATAATATCAATAAATCTATTCTAATAGTTCGAGTTATTGTTTGGAAGAAGTTATTGTTTATCGTTGGCCTTTATGATAGAATCAGTCGAGGCCCCGAGAGGTAGTGGTTTACCCTATGGCGGATGTCAGCGGTTCAAGAGCTTTCTGTTACTGAGAGTCCTTTTGTTCGAATCTCGACGACCCTCATATGTTAAGTACATAGGTACTAACCCGGAGAAATTCATTAGCAGGTTGGGTTGGGTCTTGGTTTTGTCAAAATTCAAGCAGCTTTCCATCTGTCCCGCATCCTAAAAGCAAAACAGCGTCATTTTATATCTACCATGAACAATATCGAAGTTATTTCTCTTTATGTCAATATAAAACTAATTTATGAATGCTATTGGACTTTATAGAGATATATTTGCAGGTAAAATTTGGAGAATATTACAATATGAGGGTTTGAAAAAAATAATATATAGTTATGTTCACGAACCAATGGGTATAGATATCAAACAAGAACCCGATCAAGTGACCTGCCTAGTCAACCTAAGTCGTAATTCAATTGACCAACAATCTGATTTACCCCAAACGCGATTGACCGGCAACCCAATTAAAAATCCGTAACTCGATTGATTCGGACACGACTAACTTGTGACCCGCCCAATTGACCTGAATAATTACTATATAATATAATATATAGTATTTCAAACGGAATATTTTTGTTACAAAATCTATGTAAAACCTTCTTTTTTTCATTTCATAAAGGAAAGTTCAAAATATGAAATTCACTTGAAATGATGTATTTATTAGTAAAATTATAATAATTAAAACACGGAGTTCGATTGAACATTAAGTATTTTAACAAAATAAAAAAATGAAATATAAAATCAATACAATGCCTGATGAATAATTAATAATTGAGACAATGCATAAAGTTCATATGATATATATTAAATATTAGTTAATTTAACTAGCCAACAAAGTTATCAATTAAATATAAATAGAGTAAAATAATTTATTTGATAATTTTATTATTTTAAAAGAAGGATAAGTTTTGGTGATTTCAACTATTTGGGAAGAGAAAGAATAGAAGAATTTGGTGCTTCATTTTTCTTTTTCAGAGGGTGCTTCAATTTGTGAAAAAATAAAGAAGATGAAATTTTGGTGCATTTTTTACGAAAGAATGTTATGATTATGATTTATGAGAAGAGAAATAAGTGATTTTGATTTAATGCTATGCTGGATCCTAGGGAGGCATCGAATGGATTCCTATTACTCCATACTCATAGTATAGTTTTTTTTATGAGAATACTCATAGTATAGTTGACTTCAGGTGTTGGTGTGTATAAATGGAGACAAAAGATCATAGAGTGATTGACCCGCTCTTTACATGGTCTAATCAACAAGTGGACAATCTCATTGCAAGGAAGCTTGATAGAGTAATGGTTAATATTGTCTAGTTAACTAAATTTGAAGGATGTGTGGTTGAATTCTTACTCCCAAACTTATCATATCATAGTGGGATGTGGATTATCCATAGATTAAGCACCAAATTACTTTTCAAACCCTTTAGGTGCTTTGATATGTGATAAAAGTATTCCAATTACAGAACTCTACTGGGGAAAGTACGGAGTAAGGAAAAAACAAGTTCTACCTCAAATAAGGTGACAAATAGGCTCAATGAACTTAAGCAAGAGTTGAAGAAACTCAACAAAGAGAAATTCTCTGATATTAAAGCAAGGGTGCAAGAAGCTGAAATGATTATGAAGCAAGCTCAAACTGAAGCTGTAAGGAAACCTTTTCCTTGAAAAAAAGTGCTACATAAAAGCTATTGGAACTTAAGGATGCATAGGAAAGCTTCTTTAGGCAAAAGTCACGAATAAGCTAGCTTATGTTGGGTGATAGTAACACATCATACTTCCATAGTACAAATAAATTAAGAATGGTTTGTTATGTTTGAGGGTCAAGCGTTCTTCTGTGTGGTCAACCTCTTCTATGGAATTGTTGACCTCTTCTTGATATGGTCGACCACTTTGCTGTAATGGTAGACCTCTTCTTGATATGACAGACCACTTTGTTGGAAAAGTTGACTTTTATGCTTATGAGTCTCCTATGCACTGTCGACCGGTCCAGATTTAAGGTCGATCACAATCTTCCATCATAATGACCATGTTGGTGTCACCGTCTGACCACAACGCTTAGCGGTCGACCATTTTTTCCAAGTCATAGTGACTTACAAGTCACCATAAACATACCTAAAATTTTAAAATAACAAAAATTTGAAAACACCAAAAATTATCATTCTTGCTCTTCCCAAATCCCAAAATTCTCCCATTTGTCTATTCTTAGAAAGTTGGAAACATAAACAATCCCGTTGTTCTCTTCAATAAATTAAATTCATCAAAAAATATTCTCGGTAATTAAGGTACCAAATTTTCCTTTCTTTCTCTTCTAAAATTGAGCACACACCCTAAGAGGCTTGTCTGGTAGTAATTGGGATGCAAATTTAGGCCAAAAATAAAAAATTTACATTTGGATCTATCCGAAATGCAAAATTTTCCAAACATGATTTGACCCATATATAATAAATTACATTTTGAAAATACCTAAATTTTGAGTATTTTTTACCAGCCATAATCTTTGTATCACACCCGATAAAAACACAATGACATCACAATAATACTAAATGAGTCGATAATTGTTGATTCTTTTTGCGCTGTCACATTACATAATGAGTGAGCTGACAGTAGATTTGGATGTATTGTTTGGGTGAAAATAACTCATGTCAAATAACTCATTTGACAACACTTTATCGAAATGAGTTATTTTAACAATGAATTATTTACATAAACTTATCTCATACTATTTCGACATAACTCATTTTATTCATATGTTATTGTTAAAATATCGGACTTTGCTACGGTGACATGCATGTCACGGTGACATGCACTTTTCGGTCGACCTCATATAGGATCAGGTCGACCTAATCAGTTGTTTCAGTGTACAAACAGTTTCATGGTGCCTACTTTGGAGATTCATATCTTACAATTGGCTAGATGGCAATTGGAGATTAAAGGCTTGTTTTGAAGCTAAAGTGTCCCTCTACACATTAAAGTACTTGGGAGCTCAATAGAAAGTCCAGAAGACCATTTTTGAACCTGACCAAAAGGCTATGCCAAAACTGGGAAACTGCCTAAAAATGGCTAAGTCTGGCAACGTGTTTGTCAAGCCTACTTTGGAGCTCAATTTGACAAGCATGGATGCGAGTCAAGTCCAGGGGCCTCTACCACGTTAAATTACGTATTTTTTTTATACAAAGGCAAGACATTGAATGAAAGATTGAATATCTTTAAGGCTTCAAACAAAAGGCTCGAAGTTGCTACGAAGCTGTTTTTCTGACAGCTTGCTTGTGCTCGAAGTCTGCCAGAAAAACAGCCTTCGTAGCAACTTCGACCCTTTTGTTTGAAGCCTTAAAGATATCCAATCTTTCATCCAATTCCTTGAATTTGTATAAAAACATACCTAATTTAACGTTGTAGAGGCTCCTGAACTCTACTCGCATTCATACTTCTCGAATTGAGCTAAAAAATAGGCTTCACAAACACGTCTCCAGACTTAGCCATTTCTAGGCAGTTTCCCAGTTTTGGCATAGCCTTTTGATGAGGTTCAAAAATGGTCTTCTAGACTTCCTATCGAGCTCTCAATCACTTCAATATGTAGAGGGACACTCCAGCTTCAAAACAAGTCATTAGTCTTCAATTTTCATCTAGCCAATTGTATGATATGAATATCCAAAGTAGGCACCAGGAACTGTTTTTAACTGAAACAACATATTAGGTCGAACGGACCCTATATGAGGTCGACCGGATCCTATATGAGATCGACCGAATTCTATATGAGGTCGACCTAATCCTAACTGAGGTCGACCGGAAAGTGCAAGTCACCGTGACATGCATGTCACCGTAGGCACACCCTAAAATATCACATGTCAATGTCAAATACTAAATGTGAATGATTTCGTAAAACAAAAAATTTAAAATACAACATGATAATAGGGATGGCAAAAATATCCGTAATTGTGGATATTCGCCCGAACCCGAAGGACATTTAGTGGGTACGGATAAAATCCGAACCCGAATATTGCGGGTAATGGGTGGGCATGGGTTTCTAACTATCCAACCCGAACCCGCCCGATTATACGCATGCATGTGTATTTTGTCTAGAAATAATTATTATTTTTCTCTAACATATTTTATATTTAGCATATAAATATAATATTTTCATGAAATTGTGTTGTTTTAGTTAATTTTCTTCATTCTAATAAACTGTTGTCGTACTTTTCCTCTTACGTTATGTGAGAATACGTGTGAATGTTAACATATTGGTTGGAGTTATGAAGAGAAATTATTATCCATGGATAACCGTGGATACCCGAAACCCAAACGGGTATGGACATGATTTTAATTTTCTACCCATTTCACATGTGAGTATGGGTAAAACCCGAACTACGAGTAGGATAACAGAT